GGAGAAAATATCGTACCATGTCTTATAAGTAGATTGTAAGTCAAAGAAACAGTATAAATCATAAAACAAAAATTAAAATTAAACAGTATTCACAAAATTAAGTAATAAATTTTAAAAACAAAATGAAATATTTCAAAATAATATTCAAAAATTAAAATTAAATTGTGACTCCAACTAAGAGGCCAGAATATATGTATGAATTTGTGATTAAATCAGAGTACTCCCACAGGATTTGGTTAGGTTAATATATACAAAAATATCAACTAAGAAAAAGTTTTCATGATAGTAAAGAATTACTAAGAGTAAAACATAACAAAAAAAAAAAAAAAAACTGGAATGGCAAATATATGACCAGCACTTCTAACAGTTTGGAGATAGAATATTGCACAAAGTTCTAGTATGTGGTGGACGTGGACAGTGTCCATGATGCTTACTGATGGCCAGGTGTCACTTGTGGAACTAAGCTACTGCTACTTCCTTGATATCCATCTTGTAGACCCAGGGTGCGGGGGAAGTCCACTTGTAGAGTATGCTGATGGAACTATTTTGCTGCTGTATACAAAAAAGTAATTGAAAGATTGCTGTTGTGCACCTCTTTTTCTGCTGTGTTTAATTGCTTGCCCTATTTGGTGGGTTCTTTCCAGTCTCATTCATAGAGTTATGGTCATTTTGATCCCTTTCTAGAATCCACTTGTTATGAAATAAAAAGGCATGCTATTGTCATTTGCTTACTATATCTTCTTTTTTTATAAAATAAAATTAGCATAGTTGTTATCTATTAAAGAATTCTTGTATTTTTGTTTTCAAAGTAAAGCATTTTGTTTCAAATATTAAAATTCATGGTCTATAAATTTAATGTCTTTCATGTTTTCAACTTTCTGAGCTATATTGTCTGATACGAGTGTGTCTAGATTTTTTTTTCATGTTTCAAAAACTTGAAATGTTTGGCTTATTAACTAAAATCGATATGTAGTATACTTGTATTTCTAAAAATTATAAAGCCAATAATGTTAGATCATTTACAATTATAATGACCTACCTATTCAGAGACTTTCAGAATGTTCTATTGTGGAGATAAACTTGATTCATTTGTCGGAAAATACGTGCACCTCGAACACGGTATGTTAGCTGAAATAAATCAGACTCACATGCTTAGAAATCACTTGCTTTCTCTTCTATGAGAGACCTCAAAGATGAATGAATGAAAGAACAAAATCAAAAGAAGAATGAAGAGAAATTAATATCAGTGGGTTGCTTCTGGGGGAGACAAAGTGTTCCAAAAGTAGATATATTTCTTTCTTTTTTCAGGCAGAAGTACAACTTTATTTTCAGCAGATCCAGCATTGGCAGTGTAGTCATAACTTTCTGATGTTAGTAAAAACAAAATTGGAGACTTGAAATTAAATCATGCAAACTTTTTGATACACTTGTCTTAAGAAATTAATGAAACGTTTCAAACCACTTAAGTGTCCAGATTCTCAGATGTTTGTAGTGTGAGTTTTGTTTAGTTGCGTGTATTTTTTTCCAGTGAACGTCTGGCACATGGCAGTCCTCAGACATGAGGTTATCCCTGCTGTATTGGCATAATCAGTGACTAGTACATTCAGCGTTTGAGAAAAGTAGATATATTTCTCAAAGCCTGTTTGGGAAAAAGCTTGGAAAATCAAAAATAAAGCGAACGTACCCCACCCATGCTGAGAAATTCTTGCTCAGAGTGGCAGGTTTGGAGACAAAGCCCCAATTATTTGAGGCTGAAAATTCAGTGAGTCAGAATCATAGGCTTTTTGGCTTGAAAGACACTTTCAACTAATCCAGTGTGAAAATATTTAAAAGAGAGAGAGAGAGAGAAATGCCAATTGTGCCTCGGCAATCCGAGTGGAGACGGACGGTACCTGGTGATGTGAAACACAAGCGAACCCATGGCGTGTGCTCAGACACAAAGGAGGACACGGGCGTGGTTTTCTAAACTTCGGAAGCGTTCGGATGGAGCCCGGGTAATAATGTGCAAAGAAGAGCCTCCCACAGCATGAGCGCTGTTTTTCCTTTCCCTAGCGGTAAAGACAGAACTTGCTGTCTGTTTCTAGCCACGAACAAAGGAAGCCCCACTTCGCTGTGCAGTATCCCACTCCAGGCTTCATTACGAAGAGCACCTGACACGGGAGGATGATTCCTCATACTCGCCTGAGGTAGCTGAGCAGCTGAAGACAGGACTGCAGGCCTTACATTTGCGCCAGAGCTTCACAGTACACATCATCATGTGTTCTCCTTTTCCTGAGCAGGAAACAATTGTGGTCATCGCTGTCCAAAAAAATCAATGACCTCATTTTCGTTAAATGTTTAATTTTATGACTGTGATTATGAACCACCTGACAGTGTGTCCAAGTGTCGCTGGGACACTGCATTTGTTCTCATGCTGACCATCTCGAGTGTCGCTCTGGCGGGGGTCATTTCAGCCAGGCAGTGCTTGTAATGAATACAGTTGATAAAAATTGTTGTTTGCATATTTCCTGTTATTTTATAAAAATTAACAAAATATGCAATTTATGATCATCTGTATTTAAATAATTATATTGGTAAGTGGTTATTTATTTATTTATTTTTGCCAGTTTATTTTTGCCTGGGGGCAGGGCTGGCACAGCATGTGGTGCTGGGGATCGAACCACAGTCCCTGCGCTTGCCTAGGCTTACCTAAGCTTGCCTAAGCAGATGCTTTAGACTGCTAAGCTATCTCGTTAGCCCAGTAAGTGGTTAATCTTGATTGTCAACTTTATTTATTTTAACTTTTATTCATTTATTTATTTATTTTTGCAATACCAGGGATCAAACTTGGGGTCTTGCACTTGCCAGGAAGGCACATATGCCGCTGAGCTATCTCCCTGGCCTCCATGTCAACTTTATTGTATTGAGAAATACCAAGGATATTAGTAAAGTGTACTACTGAGTGTGCCTGCAGACATAATCAGCAGGTAGGACAGCAATGATTTCAGGGGTGAAATCATCCCTGAAAGTGAACAGTACCATCTAACAGCTTGGGGGCCCAGACGGAGCAACAGCAGAGGTGGAGGAAGCCCCCTAGCACTGGGGCTCTCGCTTCCCGGCTACCATAAGGTAAGCAATGTTCCCTTACCGTGTCCTTCCACTATGAAAATGATCTGATGTCTCTGCCTTGCCTCAGGCCCGGATGCAGCCAGCCAATTGGACTAAAACTTTTGAGACCATGAGCCAAATGAATCTTTCCTTCTTTAAACTAGTTTTCTCAGGTATTTTGTCACAATGATAAGCTAACACAACTACAAGAAAAGCAGTGGAATCTGATGGGAAAACATCACCTAAAATTCTGGAAATGTTACTTTAACCTAAAAATATCTGGCAATACATCATGAGACCAAAGAGGCATAGGAAATTTCTATTGAAATACATCAACACACTTGAGTGTGAACCACATGGACACTTAAAGAACCTAGGATCTTTTGTTTTTTAATCAAAAATTTTCTTTATTCATTTGCAATGAATGAAGAATGATGAACATTTATTATATATTGCTCTACTTTGAGTATGTGTATGCATACATCAATATATGAAATTTTTGAGACTATAACCAGGAAAGGAATTCCTGGATCAAATGAAACTTCTATTTGTACTTTCTGAGATATCTATCTGCTGATTATTATACTGGCTACACTTAACATTGATACCAACAATGTGGGAGGGCACTCTTAAAAATTTTAAAACATGAATTTGCTCACGTCTCTGGAGGGTGGCTCAAAAACATGTGTTATTACAACACTAATATTCATATGTATTTTGAAACTGCTTCAGGCTAACAATTTTTTAGATACTGTCTCATACTGACATGTAGACATAAACAGATATGCTGAAGAAGGATTTCAAAGTCTATTTCTTTGCATATACACCTATACATAATACTAA